GTTATTTCCAAACTTTAAGGGAGAAGATCCAGCTGCTTGGAGATACAAGGCAGAGCAATACTTCCAAATAAAAAATGTAGTTTCAGATCAACAAGTGAAACTTGCCTCTTTTCACTTAGAAGGAATTGCTCTTCAATGGCACTGATGGTTGTCAAAGTTTTGTGGACCACCAATTGGAATGAGTTCATTAACGTTGTACTTTTGCAGTTTGGACCTACGGATTTTGAGGATCTTTCAGGTCCCTCACTCGTCTCAAGCAAACTTCTACTGTGGAGGCATACTAAGAATCCTTTGAAACCATCAATAGGTATTCCCTGCAATTGCTAATAACTCGCACTTTGTGGTATCAAGAAAATACATGCGCAATATGTATTCAGGTTCAACAAAACTTTATTTACCACCAAAGTTCTCGATGCATAAGATAAGTGTTTGGATGTCCAGCTCCTGATCCTGACAGCGATTTTTTCAACCATTACTTGACATTCATTCTTATTCCATGAATTTGGAGATATAGGCATTCCCAGATACTTCATGGGGAAGCTCCCTATCTCAAATCCCATCACCTGTTTTATCTCAGTTGATACATCTTCAATATTCTCTCCAAAATATATATTAGATTTCCCCACATATACAGTTAGTCCTGTAGTGTTAGCAAACTGATTTAACACTTCCTTTATTTTCTTGGTTGCACTGATTTCAGCTCAACAGAATATCAATAAGTCATTAGCAAAACTCAAGGAAGTGATCTTCAGTTTCTCACAGTGGCATGAATGGGGAAACACCACGGTTAGTTTCATATTCATAGGCTATGCTTGGTTTCAGATTTGGGCAACAAACTTATTGTCGCCAGTGGTTTGTTGACTCCTTTGAACTCGATGCTACTCGAAATGAAATTTGTGGAACTCGATGGTCATTAATGGCCGGTTCAATCTTCTCTTCCCAGAATTATTTGTGGAGAGGAACAATGTGAGCTTGATAAAAGATTGCAACACTTTTTGCTAGTGGTATTGAAGGGGATTTTCATGTTCGGAAAGATTTTAGCAATTAGTTTCAATTTGCTATTTGAGATCGTGGAGTTGTTCAAAAAGATTAGGATTTGGAATCTGGTTTGGAAGTTACTTTTGGGAAGAGAATCTGTAAACAATTTTGTAAAAATAATGGGGAGGTTTTTTTTTTTTTTTTTGTTTAAAAATCATATTGTAGTGAGAATTATAAGGCCAAGGACTGGACATAATGACACATCCAAATTTGGAGAAAGTTTTACGGAAAATTTAACATTTGGAATTTTGGCAAAAAAGTGGTGTTTTTTTATAATGGGGGTTATATATTATATATTATACTAGATTCTCAGCCCGGGTGACTTTTACATAAAAATGATAATAGTTTCTTATCATATATATATATATATATATAAAGATAAATAATTTTTTTGTAAAAAATGTAGTTATACATCTATCCATATTGAATCTTCAACATTAAACTAAACTTTTTTAGGTTCTAAACATGTTCTTTAATGGAAAATTTCGTTGGAACACTTGTTTAAGATTCAACAATTGTAAAGAACAATTATACAACTAATACCACCAATTAATTGAAATTAAAAATCTTAGCCTTGCACCCTACTGGATCTTATTTCCAAATTTTCTATCGCTAAACCCGGAAAAACATACAATTGATGAAAATGCAACTCTTTTTATACAAATCAAAATAATATTATATATGCAATTAGAAGTACATGTTTTAATTGACTGCAACACTTTGAATTATGTAGGAAAAATTTGATGGTTTAGAGTCATTCATGCTCGAGCTTCAGAAAATTTAAAGAGGGAGAATATCTCTTTAAATCTTGACAATTGTCCTCATCAGACTTGAGCACTATTAGATTGTAGTTGCTACCAAAAAAAGAAAAAAATTTGTTGTCACATTTTTGTTTTTCATTATATTTTTTTCTACTGCTAATGAAAAATGACACATACTGAAATCCGTTGTTGCTGATTAACGTTTTCTCTCGCATCTTCCAGTGTCATTCTTGCTTCTTAATTTTTGTTTACTTGATTCTGACAATGTTGATGTCACTGATCTCGGCAATTGTTGATGTCAATGATTGCGATACCAATGAGAATACATTATTATTTCAACTGCATTAATTAACTAAAAGGAATATATTTAAAATTTCATCGACTATTTTTTGTTGATACAATGTTTGTAAATTTTTTTCCTATGGAGAAAATAAATAAAAAGTTGATTATTTGAGAATGTTGCAATATGATGATGTATTGGATTTTAGACATTAATTAGGAAAGATAAATGATAGAGTAATTTTAGAAACAACGTCTTATAATAGATAAAATGATTTCTTTTCTTTTCTTTTTTTTAGAGCTTTAGTTTGGATGGAAAATCTTTTTCTATACAGCTGTTACGTGACTTAAGTGACAGCTACTTTCAATACGTAAAAATGGATGTTATAGAAGATTATATATTATAGATAGATTCTACACCAGCTACAAATTTTAGTCCTTTAGCACTACTCCAATTTGTTGTATCAATTTTATTTTATAAAGTGAATGATTGTTGTTTCAATCATTCAATGAGACACTGGAAACATATTTACATTTTTTTTTCCCCTATCCAATGTAATGCATAAAATGTCTAGCTTTGTCGAAAACTGACAGTTGTTAGGAGACATAAATAAGTGAAACTTCTGGGTGACAAGAGAATGAAGAACTTGACCCATCGTATAGAGTTTTTAAAGGACGAGTTTTATAGGTGAATATTCTACGTATTGAAAAAGGTATATAAATAGGATCAAGAACTTAAGTGGCCGAATTAAAGAGCTTATATTGGACAATTTGGAAAAGTAGCAAAACAAGTTTTTGAGCTTTGAATTTTGACTAGCTAATTATGCAGCCCACAAGTACAGTCGATATAGAGTATATCCCCAGCCAAATTATATCCGTGACAGCTAGAAAAGTAAATACTTCAACACAGTTCAACTATTAAAATAAGGACCAAAATAATTGTATATATCTTAGTCAAATTAGATTTAGTTCGAGTGTAGTTTGTATTTGCATAGAATTATTTTCTTATTTCTCTTGATAATAATGAAAAAAAAAAAAAAATCTCTCCGTTTCAATTTATCTATGATTTTGGAGCGATAGAAATTTTTTTAGTTAAAATTTTTTTTTATCAGTCTTTACCTTCCAGGGGTAATAAATTAATATTTCCCACTTTTCTCTTTCTCGCTCGTCTTTTTAATAAGGTACAGTATTTACAAAGGTCAAGTCTTAAATATGGTTAACAAGATTAATTACCAAAATAACACGGAATGACTAATTTGTTAACTAGCTGTTGTGCAAATATGAAGGAGATAGATAAATTGGATTGTCGCTATTTTCCAACCGAAAAAAAGTAGCAGGAAGTATCATTAGATTGAAAAGGTCAAAGTTTGTATTCAAGACGACAAATTGATAAAAAGACAGGTACATACTATTACTAGTAGTGCATGACAAAATACCTAAAAAATACATGCACTGTGCTAGAGAGAAAGAAAAAAAAAATAATTCCAAATTTCATTTCCATTTCGTGTCCTAATACGTGAGAAAGTTAGGATCATCAGATTCAAACTAAGAGAAGTCATATATATGAATGAATGTAATGTGTTTGGGTGATGAAGAAGAAAGTTTGTTTTCCGGTTGTTTTGGTTGTTTCAAGTTTAATCATCCTTACCAAAAGAATGGAAAATTTAGTTGTATTGTTTTAATTCAAATAAATTGATTATTATTTTAGGATGAAAACGAGTATAATTGATGCATGCCTTTTGGGATCTCCCTCCCAGTTAACGATTTTATGCAGCTTCCTTTTCTTCTTATTTGACGCAAAATTTAATTATTATTTTGTGTAAAACTATAGTCTATTGCATTAATACGTATCCACTGACACATTCAGGTTGCATTTTTTTTTTCCCCTTAAAGATGTTTAGAACGAATTAATCTGATTTTGTTACGCTCAACTTCGAAGATATGGAGGCAATGTCAAAAGCAAAAACACAATAAGTAAATCTAGAGAAAATTAAGAATCTTGGTACCCCACAAAGTGGGGAGAGTTCGATTCCGACCAGAGATTGAAACCTATATTTTTCATAGGATTTTATTAGAGTTAGGTCATGCAAGGTGATGTTTTTGGAAAAGAAAAGAAGTAAATAAAAAATGACAATCTTACTATATGAAACAAAATAGGTAAACAAGAAATACATGACTTTTTTAATCTCAAAATAAACTTTTATTTTTATACTGAAATAAAAATTTAAACGACACAATCATTTCGTGATATAAAGTAATAAAATAATACATGACATGACATCTCTGATGCGTATAACAGGAAAACATTAATTTTTAATCTAAAACTAGAAACCCTGGAAGGAAGAATTCGCTCTTAATTACCACCAATTATAGGAGTTGCCCCGATGAACTAACTCTAGCTAAACTATCAGTCATTGCATGTACCTAACTACAAAATGATGATGGTAAAAGAAGAAATATTATGCGTACTATTTAAAATTTTCAAAATTCATGCGTGAAAAAGAATCAATTTGACATTTCGAGACTTCGCTATATATATAAAAAAACATCCCTAGACCAAATTTTTCACAATTTCAAAATTTCAAGCAACATCGCAGACGAAAATTCCATTGTCCATCTCAAAGAAACTGCTGGTTTTAATCTGCTGCTAATTAGTGTAATTATTGTCTGCGAGGAATCATAATATATCCGAGTTTGACAAATCAAGATTTATGGCACGAGGAGCAAACTTTTCATAGTAAATAATTTTCAGACAAAAATACGTCTCAAATTGCGATACTTCATACAGTGTAGAATTAATGAAACTTGAAACACTATAAAAAGGGGGCTTCGACCGCAACATAAATCACAAAACCATTACCTAAAAAATCCTCCAAATCCGAAACTTAAACCTTCGAAGTAAATATTCATACTTTATTAGCCATGGCGTCTAAAGGCATTTCTTTTATGAACCTCTTTTTGTTGTTATTAGCTCTTTCATTATCCTGGATTGAGTTTTCAGATGCCCAAACACCAACAAACCAAAACATTTCGATTTTCAGCCGCAAAAGTTTCCCAAAGGATTTCACATTTGGAGCAGCTTCAGCTGCCTATCAGGTCAATTAAGCAAACTTTCTTTTGTGTATATGATGTATTCAAGAAAATAATGTATATTTTTTTCGTCACAAAATAATTATCAAAATTCTGCGCTCACACGCTAATGCACGAAATTGTGTCATTTTAGGCGCTACATTTGATAATATAGAATTGTGTATGCGTATTTTCACTAAAAATCCTCAAGTCTTTTTGTGCATGCAGTATGAAGGAGCGTCAACGGAGGATGAAAGAGGACCAAGTATATGGGACACTTTCAGCCAAAATTACCCAAGTAAAAATTTCGTTTTCACAAGAATATTATACTTGATATCTGTCCTAAAATGATTCTTTAGTTTGGACTTAACTAAAAATGAAAATTAAATTGAACAATTATCTCAATAAGAAAGAAGAATATATATAGTTATTGAACAGTTTGATTCGTAAGTATTTTTTTCACCGTTTCACATATTTGTTTTATGTATGTTTTTCTAACCGTTTCACATATTTGTTTTGCAATATTATACAGATAAAATAGCAGATCATACAACTGGTAACGTAACCAACGATTTTTATCATCGATACAAGGTTAGATATACTCGTACGCTCCTTAAATTATTTTTCCAATGATCATTTAATTTTTCCAATATAATAATTTTAGTTGAGTTTGAACATGGATTCATTGGTATATGCAGGAAGACATTCAACTGATGAAATCCCTGGGATTGGATAGTTTCAGATTATCCATTTCATGGTCAAGAGTTATACCAAGTATGATTTCATTAATTTTTTTCAAAGATAAAATTAGAATTTATAGTTATTTATGTATTGTAATAAATTTACAATAATTTCTAACACATCAATTAATATTGCTTAGAGTGTTATTCTTGATAATGAGATAATGAGAATTAATCCATTTATATTACATCTTTCTCAGGTGGAAAGCTAAGCAAAGGAGTCAACAAAGCAGGAATTGCCTTTTATAATAACGTCATCAACGAGCTACTAGCAAATGGTTTGTCTTATGAATTTTGATTCCCTATACCAAATATTCACATTTGCTTCTTCTTTTACGTCCTTACTAACTCTGTCCCATTTTAATATTTTCCTTGTATTGAATACTAGTATATATATTGTGGAGGACAAATATATATGTAACCGATTTTAATTAATTTATATTTATCGTGAATTCAACAGGAATAACGCCATTTGTGACAATTTTCCATTGGGATCTTCCTCAACCTTTGGAAGATGAATATGGTGGCTTTCTAAGCTCTCGCATCGTGTAAGTATTTAATCCTACGAAAATCATTGTTATTTCCATTATTAATGAGCTTTTCACATATATTTCTTAATGGTAGAAAAAATTCAAAGTGGAACCCGAAATGGCTCTGATCTTTGTTGATTTATTGTAGGGACGACTATGTTGATTTTTCCGAATTGTGTTTCAAAGAATTTGGCGATAGAGTCAAACATTGGACAACCTTCAACGAGCCATTAACATTTACCGCTGCCGGCTATGACTCCGGCATCTTAGCTCCCGGCCGATGTTCTTCATGGAGAAACAACGATTGCCCGGCAGGCAACTCCGCCACCGAACCTTACTTGGTTGCTCACAATATCCTCCTTTCTCATGGTGCAATAGTTGATCTATACCGGAAGAAATACAAGGTACTCTTTCAATTAAATTTGTCAAGAAAGATAAAAATACATTTTCTTTGGCGTCATATACTAAACTTGTCATCCATTCTCAAAAAAAAAAAAAACTAAACTTGTCATTAGCTAAAAAGATAATCAAATGAAAACTTGCATTCTTTCCGTAAAAAAAAAATAAATAAAAGAAAAAGAAAAAATCCACTTTATATGTATTAATGAGTTTTTCTTCATTGTAATTTTGATATTTTATCCATAGCCATCTCAAAATGGAGAGATAGGGATCGTTCTCAACCCTACTTGGTATGTACCATACACCAGCAACAAAGCCGACAAACAAGCAGCGCGACGAGCATTGGAATTTGCATATGGATGGTGAGCGAGCCTTATGTACATATAGAAATGCAACTAATTTCTAGCTTCAATATTCATATTTAATTTATTTTTCTAAATAAATTAAAAACATATATAAAACTCAAAGAACATCATTCATACGCAGGTTTTTGGACCCTTTAGTTCATGGTGATTATCCTCCAACCATGCGCCGCCTCGTCGGCCGTCGGTTGCCGAAATTCACGGCCGAGCAGTCAAAATTGGTCAAAGGGTCGTTGGATTACTTGGGAGTCAATTATTATTCCGCAAGCTTTGCTGCTCATCTTCCCTCTCGCAATCGCCTTGGTGCCAACATCAGCTATACAACTGATAGCCAAACCAATCTCACCAGTAAGCAACTAATTATAATAATTTTATTATTACACAGTTAATTGTCTAAGTAAAATTTACATTTAATTTCAATTATGTAAACTTTTTTTTTTGTTTCCACAGCAATTAGGAAAGGATTAACTATTGGTGAAGCGGTGAGTTTCCATTCAAACTCTAATTAAGCTTCGTCGTTTTTATCTAATTACAACTTATTAAGCTGTTAAATGAAAAATTAAATATCAGGAAGGAGTATCAGGGCTTTTCGTATATCCACAAGGACTTCGTGAAATTCTTGTCTATACTAAAAACAAGTACAACAATCCCAAACTTTATGTTACGGAAAATGGTAAGTGTGTATACATCCTCAATTGATCATGAAACTAATTAATAGAATGGTTGGAATTTTAAATTTATGTTTTTGTTTTTGTAAAATAGGATATGGAGATCGCAACGTCTCTAATGTTGAAGAAGCTATCAAGGATTTGGGAAGAGCTCGCTTCTATGAAGGCCATCTCAAAGCAATTAAACAAGCCATCGAGTACGTTTTTGTATATTTTCTAAAATGATCAATTTTAGATTGATTACACTTTATTTTTTATTTACAGAAATAGTGAATACTCATTTAATTAACTTATTTTCCCTTTTGGGTTTGAAACGAATGCAGTGAGGGGGTTAAAGTGAAGGGTTTCTTTCCATGGTCATTCATGGACATGTGGGAATGGAATTCGGGTTTCGCACAGAATTACGGTTTGATATTTGTGGATCGTAAGAATGGATTGAAACGACACCTCAAAACTTCAGCTCTTTGGTACAAGAAGTTTCTCAATGCCTAGATTCATACAAGAAGTTCTCTCAAAATGAAGGATGAGATATTCCATCAGATTGTTTCATTTATTTATTTCATTTATTAGTTTCGTGAGGAAAATTTAATTTGTAATATTATTCTATTTCCTTTTTCCCTCTTCGAACTATACCTGCCAAGATGGTGGTGTTTGTTCGATTGGCTCCATTATGAAAATATTCATACCCTAGTCGCTAAGGCCTGGTCTGAGGCTTGTTGAGCCAGAATTTAGTTATTTTAAGGAGAAACTGTATCAATCATTTTGTCATTGAAACCAATACAATAAAGGTTATAGCCAATAATCATCATCTTTCTCAATTTTCCAGAAAATGTCATCCCTCTTCCTCGTCCTTGTCCTCTTCCATCTCTGTTAACCTCTTACACTGAAATGATATTATATGATCCATCCGTCCCAAATTATTGTTCAGTTTGAATTTTCAATTCTAGTTCAAAGTGAACTAAAATAAATATCCAAAATGAATAATAATTTTGAAACTGAGTGAGTATCAAATATCATATATTTACAACGTAAGTACACGTTGTAATTAAAGTCCTGAACGTCCATTCGTTGTTACTTAATCTGGATCTGAGCATTCTATTGTTCTTGAGTAACGTTGTATATATGGTGATTCTTCTTTATTAATGATTTTCACATTGAAATGAAGTTAAAAAAATCGGATGCTAATTTGGTCCACGTATCCATTCGGAACTAGGTATCTAGTCGATTGAGATGGGAATAAGTAATTTTGTGAGTGGAGTACGTCTTTTGTTTGGTGAGATATGATCATTGTTGATATTTTCATCGGGACATAGAATTAGGTAGAAATTCTGTTATCTAGCGTGCCTAGGTTTACTTGGGACATTGACAACCAAAGAAAAAAACCAGAAACAGATGTAGTGATGATGATGATCCTACAGCTAGGTACGTACAACATGAAAGAAAGAAAGGGGCAGATTAAGCAGATCAAAGAACATACCGCTGACAAAACTACCAACTTCAAGGGTCCTACGTACGCCATAGCAAATTGCTGTACTCGTCTAGGTCGGACAACAGAGTGATGGAGAAACCAGACTTTGATGATACAGGAACATGGCAAGGTTGATCATCAGAATTTTGTACATACTTAGTCATAGTATAAGCTACAATATACATATTTGATTAGTTGTAAATATTTGTAACTACAAGGACTTATCTGTAAATATATTAGGCAGTTAGTTTAGTTACTGTATTTATTATAAATAAGACAGAGATTCCATTAATTAATAATAACAAAAAGGAAATCATTTTTCCAAAACCCAAAACCGCGTTTTCAACTGCTTTCTGTTCCTTGTTTCTTGGTCACCGGAAATCACAACCTGAAACCCTAAATCCGGTGATTGTATCAGAGCAGGAGTGATCCTGCCTGATTACTGAATCGTGAATCTTTAAGATTTCATTCAATTAACAAAACCTAGACTTCAATTTGTGCAATGGAGCACGGTGAAGCTGATAGCAGTCGTGCTCGTGAGTTCCGATCGGAGGATCACATGCCAGATCACGATGCGGGAAGATACAATGGATTCTATCGAAGGACTGAGCGAGGCAATGCCCGAAGTCCGGATTCGGAGTGGTTCATGGAAGAGAAACTTCAACTGCATGGTTCAGACAATCATGGCATGAATCTGGTGAGTACGCCTTTGACGACTGTGAATTTCTTGATGTGGAAAATGTCAACGATTACTGCTTTAGAGGCAAAGATGAAATTAGGCTTTGTAGATAGAAATTGTAAAATGCCTGCTATCAATTCACCTGATTATTATAGATAGAGACAAGTTGATAGCATGGTTAGATCTTGGTTGTTGAACTCGATTGATCCAAACCAAGTGAGCAGTTTTGCCTTTATTCCAACTGCTAAGCAACTCGGGGAAACTATAATTGCAAGATATGGAAAGACTAATGGTTCTATAGTATATCAGCTAAAGCGAGAAATGGCTTTGATAAGTCAAGGTAATCTAAATATGGTGGAATACTATAATAAGCTAAATAAGCTCTGGGATGAGTATGCACAATGGAGACCACTAATTGTTTGTGAAGGGGAAACGATGGTAAAATTGTATAACAGGGATAATGAAGACAAGGTTTATCAAATACTGATGGGTCCGAATGAGTGTTATGAATCATTGAGGAGTGAAATTCTCCGTATGGATCCGCTGCCAAGCTTGGATGAGATCTATTCCAAGCTTTTGCATGAAGAAACTCAGAAACAGGTCAGTAATGTTGTTGCAGTGCCAATAGAGAATGTAGCTATGGTACCAAGACCAATGATTTGGAAAAAGGAAGATGAACAGAAAGATTGGAGAGAAGCAAAAGCTGCTGCTAAGAGAGAGAAGATGAATCAGTTTTGCACACATTGCAGAAGAAAAGGACATTTGAAGACTGATTGTTTTTTGATAAAAGGATTTCCAGATTGGTGGGAAGAAAAATATGGGAATCAGAAGAATCAAACTTCTCAGAAACAGCAAAGAACAATGGTTAATCAGGGAATAAGTCAAAAAGCTCATCTGGTAGAGACACCTTTTGAAGAATCAGTGAAACCTGTTGATGGTTGGCAGTCCATTGTAGCTAATCTAGTTCAAGCAGAGATAGGAAAGATGATGAAAGGGAAAGCTCCAAGTGACTATACATCAATAAGTTCAGCCAATTATGCACATCTTCATGAGTTTGCAGGTAGCAATGTCATCCCTAAACTTAATGATATTATGCACTGCATTAGTAATATGTCCTGGATTACTGATAGTGGAGCAACAACACATATGTGCTGTAACATTTCTTTGATGATCTATGCTGAAATAGTTAAGGTTTGTACTCCTGTTTACTTATCTGATGGTAGTATTAGTTAGTGCATCAGCAAGGAAAGGTAGAATTGTCTGATAAGGTTACACTCTCTTCTGTCCTTCATGTACCAACCTTTAAACACAACCTTCTATCAGTCAGAAAGCTTGCCCAAACATCAGGAATCTATGTAAAGTTATTTGATGAGTTCTGTTTGCTGCAGGACCTGAAGACTAATGAGGTCCTTGGAGCAGGCACAGTCATCAATGGACTCTACATAATCAACACACATTCCTTCACACAAGCTGCCATACAAGAAACACACATACTCTATACTAGATTGCTTTTATCCATTTCTAGAAATACACCATAGATGAATTCTATTCCTGATGTAATAAATGATAGTCTATGCACTAGTGCTAATGTAACTGTTTCCACTTGGCATAGCAGATTAGGACATCCCTCTAATGAGGTTCTGAAACATTTACAATCTTGTAAACATTCTATTTCTGATCAAGATACACACTTATGTGATGTATGTCCCTTAGCTAAGCAACACAAGCTGCCTTTTCCTACCAGTTCTATACATACATTAGAAATTTTTGAACTGTTACACTTAGATGTCTGGGGACCATATAAGCTTTTATCTTTAACAAATGCTCAATTTTTCCTAACTGTTGTAGATGACTTTAGTCGAACCACCTGGACTTTTCTGCTGAAACATAAGTCTCAGGTGCCAGAGACTCGGAAACACTTTCTGAACTTAGTGCAAACACAATACAATCACCATGTCAAGATCATTAGGACTGACAATGGTTCTGAATTTTGAACTCTACAGTTCAAACTCTACTTTCTGATTTTGGTATTATCCACCAAAGATCTTGTCCCTATACTCCACAACAGAATGGAGTTGTAGAAAGAAAACATCAACACCTGCTTCAGGTGGCTAGATCTCTTCTAATTCAATCTGGTTTACCTAAGAGGTTCTGGGGGGAGTCTATTCTTACTGCAACCTATTTGATAAATAGAACTCCATCTTCTGTCTTGAATTGGCAAAGTCCTTATGAACTGCTTCATTAAAAAACACCCAACCTTGATCACCTCAGAATTTTTGGCTGTTTAGCCTTTGTCATAAATACAGCACCAAGCAGGGACAAATTTGATCTTAAATCACATAAGGGAGTTTTGGTAGGATATCCTAGTGGCCAAAAAGGCTACAAAATTTACTGCCCTCACTTACGGAAGATTATTGTATCTAGGGATGTACAATTTCATGAATCTGTATTCCCTTCCAAAACTATTACTTCTTTCACCACGGATACACTTTCACTTCCAGTTCCTGTGCATGATAATGTTGAGTACACCCCATATTTTTCTAGGCAATCTCCCGTGCAACATACTACCTCTTCACCTCCTTCATCTCCTTTATTACCGCAGCCAACTGCCCATGACAGTATCTCAGATCATTCCTCTAGTCCAATGATCACAGTCCCTTCACCTCCTTCTGTGCCTCCTAATCCTCCTTCTTCTTCCCCACCTCCATTAAGGAGGAGTACTAGACCTACTGTTTTACCTGCTTAGCTTAATGATTTTGAACTAGCACATTCATGTTCCAATGTTCATCCACATTCAGGAGGAGTTATCTCTAGTGATGATTGTACTTTTTCTGATGCACATTTGAGTTTTCTGGCCAACATTTCTACTATTAATGAACCTAGAAACTATCATCAGGCAAGAAACAATCATCATTGGATTACAGCCATGAATGAGGAATTGACTGCTTTGGAAGATAATTAGACTTGGGAACTTACTTCATTGCCACCTGGAAAAAGGGCAATTGGATGTAAGTGGGTTTACAAAGTTAAGTGAAAACCAGATGGAACTGTGGATAGGTACAAAGCCAGATTAGTGGTAAAGGGTTATAGTCAAATTGAGGGGGAGGATTACTTTGAAGTGTTCTCACCAACAGCTAAAACTGTTACTGTAAGGGTTCTAATGGTCTTAGCTGTTACAAAGGGCTGGAATGTACATTGGTTGGATGTCAATAATGCATTTTTACGTGGACAACTTGATGAGGATGTTTACATGTTGCCACCTCTCGGTTATACAAAAGCTGCTACTGATCACGTTTGCAAGTTGCAAAAATCTCTCTATGGTTTGAAGCAGGCCTCCCGACAGTGGAATAGTGCTTTTACATCTTTTCTGATCAACTATGGCTTCCAGCAATCTTACTCTGATCCATGTCTTTTCATGCTGCATACTGACACTGTTTTTGTAGCTTTACTAATGTATGTGGATGATGTTTTAGTAACAGGTTCTGATGAAACAGAGATTACTAAGGTTAAGGAACTCATTCATAAAGCCTTTACCATCAAAGATTTGGTCATGCCAAGTATTTTTTGGGGGTTGAAATAGCAAGAAGCTTCTTTGGTATGTATCTCAGCCAACACAAATATGTACAGGACCTTCTTGCTGATGCACAAATGTTCATGCCCAACCTGCTTCTACCCCTTTTCCTAGTGATCTTAGATTTTCTAAGAAGGATGCTTCTCCTCTTCTTGAAGATGTCTCACAATACAGGAGATTAGTAGGGAGGCTACTTTACTTGGGGTTTACTAGACCAGATCTTACTCATGCTGCTCAACAATTATCTCAGTTTGTTCATGCTCCTAGATAGTCACACTAGAAAGCTGCTTTACACTTGTTGAGATACTTAGATGGTACTCAGGCACAAGGTCTCTTCTACCCTGCTACCACTGATCTTACTTTGCTAGCCTACTTTAATGCAGACTGGGGATGCTGTGACTTTTCAAGACACTCTCTCATAGGTTATTGCATCTTTCTTGGTTCTTGTTTAGTATCGTGGAAGACCAAAAAACAACCAATTATCTCTTGCTCTTCTGCTGAGGCAGAATATATAGCAATGGCTTATACAGTGAGAGAATCACAGTGGTTCACTTATTTGCTTCATGATCTCTCAGTTCCTATTTCGTTACCTATCAAATTTTGGTGTGATAGTAAATCTGCCCTCTACATAGCAGCCAATCCAGTATTTCATGAAAGAACAAAACACATTGAGATTGACTGCCATGTAGTGAGAGATTCATATCTGCAAGGTTTCATCAATCTTCTTCACATTAGCTCATCCAATCAGCTTGCAGATTTGTTTACCAAGCCACTTTCAGCTTCTGTTTTCCATCATCTACTCAGTAAGATAAGCCTTTGGAACTTTTCCTCTGCTCCTCTTGAAGGGGGTGTGATGGAGAAACCAGACTTTGATGATACATGGCAAGGTTGATCATCAGAATTTTGTACATACTTAGTCATAGTATAGGCTACAATGTACATATTTGATTAGTTGTAAATATTTATAACTATAGAGACTTATCTATAAATATTTTAGACAGTTAGTTTAGTTACTGTATTTATTATAAATAGGACAAAGATTCCATTAATTAATAATAACAAAAAGGAAATCATTTTTCCAAAACCCAAAACTACGTTTTCTATTGCTTTCTGTTTCTTGTTTCTTGATCACCAGAAACCACCACCTGAAACGCTAAATCCGGTGATAGAGCTCAAAAACTTATACAGAACCCAAAACAAAATATAGAAAGTTAACATTCGCATAAAATATAGCACGCTTATTAATCTTCGATTTAAAAACCATGCACACACAGCTACCGCCTTCTTTGTGGCTTACAAAACAAGAAGACTAAAAGTAATCATAGATACTGACGAAGCATGGATCTGCACGGTGCCTAGGACGGGCGGCGATGATGATCTAGGTGGCGGCGGACTGCCGAAAACCTGCAAGACAGAGCCTCGGGTGTCTCTCGAGGGTAGACTCTCCGGTGCTTAAGTCAATAAAGGAATAAAGATAATAGAGGGAGAGGGATGTGTCGTGTATAGAAGATGTAGAAGATAGGTAGAAGATATGAATTATGGGAGAGGCACCACCTCTTTATATAGAAGTGGTGTTATCTGTCTCCTGAAACCCTAACGGAATAGGTTTAGGCGGTGACTTAATCTTCAAGTAATCTAATCCTAGGCTCAATAGGCCTAATGTTAATTTATGACTCGTCAGATACAAAGGAAAAAGTTTCGTACTCAAAATGCACAACAGTAAGAGCACCCTTTGCACCACATCCAGTGGCAAATCTTAGGAACTCTGGCAGCCTCCCGGTAGCATACAGTTTGTCCTGACAGTCCTCTATTTTCCCCTTACCACTTACCATCCACGTGATAAAGGGCGGGACAACCCTACATGAGAAACATAAACCAACATGATTTCATATAAGAGTAACCAAAAGCCAGGTCCTAGGAATTGGAAAAAGAAAAAAAACAAAACAAAACAAAACAGAAGAATCTACTCCAAAAAATTACCCTGTCGAAACCTCCAATCAGCATTTCAACCGGCAAACCCTCCTCACCCCAAGAAGACAGAAAGTTGGCCATCCACCTGGATGCTTGCACAACAGAAATATATCCTCCCTCCTTCCGTTTATATGGTCGCCACTCGCAATAAATTAAAATTAAATAAAATAACTAAATCATTGAATCTTCCAACATTCCACTTGAAAAAAGCAATTTCGACATAAATTACAGATTGATCACTGTAACATTTAAACCAAAAAAAAAAAAGAAAAAAAAACAATTAAGGGAAAAACCAAAAGTGTTGGTAATGTGGACCAGCAAGTACCTCCTTTTGTAAATCTTTGAGCAAAAAAACTCACTCCCTCTAGAAATAGCGGCAAGCATGCGGGAATTCAGTTTAATAATGTTGGGGACATGGGACTATGATGCTAAATTGAAATTAAGTAGGAGTTAGTGGTGCTGCTGATGTTTCAGATCATATTATAAAAACATGTACAGATTGGAAAACTCACAATGATCAGTAGCTAAAAAAAACCTCTCCTTTGAAAAGAAATCCCGTCGTTGTGGGTCCTTTTCCTCTGTCACGGTAGAGAAAACCTAAGTCCTCATCATTGTCAATTTGGGCATTCGGGGGTCTCCATAGAGGACATGACTCTGGCCTTCAAACCAACAAGATAAACAAAATCAAGTTATATATAAGCGGAATAAAAGGAATAGGTTCGATTAGATTGATGGCCATAATTTGATGAAGAAGAGGGGATTCACACAAAATCGACCACGGGCTTACTTTATCTTATACAATGCTGATTTCCCCAAGTTTTCTTTATGCGAAACTCCAGCTGATGCAGCGCTTCGCTTGTACCGTAATTTGGGATCGGTAGCCAGAAGGGTCGGGTTCTAAGAGTAAGAGATTGGATCAGAAAATTGGATTACAAGTGGCGAACCCTTTTCAATATAATTAACCTTTGCAAGATGAGAATGTATTGTAATTTTTTTAAACAATAAAAGAGTTTTGGGTAATGGTGAAATTTTGCTATTTTAGAATGATTCTCAAATGCTATGGGGAGATTTAATATCTACTAAAGTATAATTTGCTCGCTGAACTTTGTTTTGGTGTATAAGACAAAAACAGAACAATAGTTTTATACTTAGTTACGGAGACATCAAGTTGAAATTAGCACTAGTTTTATATGCATGATGGTATGTTCAATTTTATTGTGGAAGGGGTAGTAACGATATTTAGAAAAACTTGGCATTAAGCACCAATTTTGGAACAAAAGTTGATAGGATTGTACAACTTTGAAAGGAATACAATTTACCTTTTACCAAAAAAAATAAAAATTTTTTGTACAATTATTATGCATAAATAAAATAATATTCTCTCCGTCCCATAATTATTGTCCTGTTTGAGTTTTCACTTTTAGTACAATTTGAACTAAAAATGAAGATTCAAACAGGACAATAATTATAGGACGGAGGGAGTATATATGAAAAAGTGTGAGGTTACATCAGGCGCAGGCTACCTAGACGGCAGATGGGCGCGGAGAAGGGAGGCGCTGTTGATGGGAGAAGGAAACTAGGAGACGTTAGCAAATAAGAGCGATTGTGTTTCACCTTTCAAAGGATGGTATGGATTGGACATAATCAAAATTCTATCTCAACTTCACCTTTTTGACTTCATCGTTTCTAAATTTACCTCAACTCAGGAAAAACTCTTAACTCAAAGAAGAAGCTCACAGAAAATAATTTTCCAGAAAATGAGAAGTTAAAAGCATGCCATCCAGTACTCAGCTCAAAAGTCAAAATATATAACATCTTCAATAAGCAATATAATGCTCAAGCAACAAAACCACACATCCATTACCTTTTTCACCATAATATTAAGCTAAGAGCAATGAGTGAAAGCAAAATTCATAATTGACAACAAGGTCCTACAAAGAAATGCCAATCCTTAACGCTTCTTGGAGACACCAACAGTCTTTCCCCTTCTTCCAGTAGTCTTGGTGTGCTGACCACGAACCCGGAGACCCCAATAATGTCGCAGACCACGGTGGTTCCTGAAATCATGAAGCACACACATCATTAACGAATACAGTGTACATCCCTACAAGCAGAAGATGCAAAAGGTGAAGGAGCATCAAGAGAACAGACAACAATAACAGTTCATTTTCCAATAAAATCACATGCAAGATTAATGGATGCAAAAGATAGAGTCCGATGAGAAGGAAGCTAACGAATGGTACTTCTTGGCACACCGCACTCAACATACTAGCTGCATGAATTCCTTTTTGCTAAAAAGAATAAAGCTGGACATAAAAGCTATAACTACCAATCTTGTCATAGATAACTATCCTTGGAGCAATTATCTCAAAGTCTATAGAAAGAAAAAATAAAACTATTTGTTAATCCAAATTGCAACACAGTTAAAAAAAAAGTGTGCAATGTTCAAGGGTAACATCAGAATCAGCAACCGACAAACAGAAATTTAACATGCAGGAAGACGACAAGTAGCCGGAACTACCGATGAATGGAGTGCAAATAGTATTACAAGTAAACACCAAGAGTTTATGACGTTTTTGAACATATGCATAATAGTAACAAAGAAACATAATGCAATAATAAACAAACCTAATCTTCTTCAGGCGCTCAAGGTCATCCCTCAGCTTCATATCCAAAGCATTGGACACAACCTGGGAGTACTTGCCATCTTTGTAATCCTTTTGCCTGTTAAGGAACCAGTCTGGGATCTTAAACTGGCGAGGGTTGGCCACTATGTTCATCAAACTATCAATCTCAGCATTGGAAAGCTCACCAGCTCTGTCATCCAACATTAAAACAAAACATTTACATGTAAATCAGCATCCTCCAAGCATTACTGGATACAGTAAAATGAATAAATGCAAATTATTTTCCTACCCAACCTCTAATATAGTCCCTAAACAATACAAGCATCTATAACTATTGCAATAAATTCTAGAAAATGCAATACAGAGGACATACAAGTGCAACGAATAAAACTCCCATCGTATTCCTAAGAGGAGCTGATAAAAGGAATTTTCCTTCTGTATGTGCGCAGGCAATAAACTACTGGAACTATAAATTATTCAGAAACCATAAAATTTATGGACAATATCTGGGATAACCCATGCTAAAGGGGCAAGCAAGAATTAAAAAACAAAATATTAAACCAAACAACCCAAAGCTTTTCAACATCCAAAAACAGCAAAAAGAGGAAAATAAATCAAATTACAAACAGAAATCGGAGGCCCAGAAAGGGGCGAAGAGGCTAAACCTTTTATTCATGTCAACATCGGCCTTCTTGCAGACAATATTAGCAAAACGGCGGCCAATACCCTTGATGGAAGTCAAGGCAAACATCACCTTCTGTTTACCATCGACGTTGGTATTCTGAATACGCAGAATGTGCTGGAATTCTTCATTCGCCACGAGAGCCTAACCCATTTTATCAAGAAACAACAAAATAAAAAGGGGTGAAAAAGAAATCAAACCAAAGAAGACACAAAGTTCTGACAAAGAATTAGATCAAGGAAATCCCATGAAAACTCAACGATGGATGCACTCACCATGATTTAGGAATTCCTCTTGAGCTTTTTTCTCTTCGATGAGCTCTTCTCGTCTTCGACAGCTCTGAGGATGGTTGAAAGTGAAGAACCCCCTATGTGTTTTTTCCGCCGCTCCGCCACAATTTTCAGATTTGTATAAACCCTACTTCGAGGACTATTATTGGGCCACAGGCCCGTGATGTAAAAAGTTTGTGGTCCATTTTAGTTCACACCAACTTGAATATCGAGAATTCATAGCCCAAAGGCCCAAACACAGAGGGCTTTTTTATATTAATTTCTTTGATTTTCTCATACAAATTTACAGATTTTACTTTTTTCCCCCTAAAACATTGCTTCACCGACCTTCACCAAGCTTGTATAATTAACTCTGTTTTACGTTCATGCACGAGTCTTTAGGAAAATTTTGGAAGGGGTTTAAATTTATTAGGAAATTATGAAGAAAAATTATAAGGAAAAAAATATGGAAAATATTTTTTAGGAAATTATCAAAAAAAAAAAAAAAATTGACCACAAATTACGAACAGGAAGAAAATATGCACTAGAAGTGTATAATTTTCCAAATAAAGCCTTAAAAATTGCACATACATTATTCTGGATTAATTCCTTTTTAATCATCATCATCCTTTTATTATTATTATTTTTTTTTTCCCAAAATTACATTTACCAAAAGACCCAAATTTAACTTTCTTTCTATTCTAACCAGGCTATGGCGAATTGCGATTGATATTTGTTACTTGAGCACGAAGATTTCGAAGCTCTCAATAAAAAAAAAAAAAAGGAAACTTCCATCCTGAAATAATTAAGCAACATTCCCTTTTTCTGTTTTCCTTTATTATTTCCTGTTTCCAAAACCCATACGGAAATTTGGCAATTTCCTAAAAACGTTCACCCAATATAGCCTATATAAACCCTAACCGCGAGAGCCAAAGTCTTCTCACATTCAGCTTTCGATTAGTTCTCTTTATTTCAGTATAACATCATCATCATCATCATAATAATGTCTTTTCTTAAGAAAATTTTTGGGTCGTCATCCTCCTCGTCAAAGAAGTACTCTTACGAATCAGAGTATTCGGGTTCCAAGTCCGAGGTTAAGGAAGAAAAGGAAGAAGAAATGCGGCGTTACGATGATAGCGACAAAGAAGAAGACGACGATGGAGGAAGTTATTACCAAACTCCCAAAGAACAATCCGACGATGAAGACGACGAGGAAACTAATCGGAGAGAGACATTGCGGAGGGTGGCGAGGAACATTCAGTACGGATACGACAACTATTTGCCACAATGCAATGAGTATCCCGGCGAGGAGCACTTGCTCGACGCGCCGCTAAAGAATTGGAGATACCTTTTCCCGACGGAAGAGGAAGTTGCGAGGAGGAACAGTATGCGGAGGGCGGCCAGGATAATGCAGGACGGATATGATAACTATTTGCCCAAGTATAATGAGTATCCCGGCGAGGACCTTTCCGGTCCTTTCAATAAGAAGTTTCATCTCCATCTCCATGACCACGACGACGATGATGATTGAGAGAAGTTGTTTTTAATTAGGGTTTTTGAGTTTTATTATTAAAATTAGATTATAAATAAAAGACAGATTTCGTCTGGATCGAGTGATGATGATTTTGTTTTTTTTAAACTTGTTATTGATGTGCTCTTTAGTTTCTTTTCTGATAATTATAATAGAGGACATACATATTCTTATTTGAATTGATCGTGTAGTGGCCTTGTTATTAATGTTGTTTCAGCCTTTGTGTGTGTGTGTGCGCGTTTGATTGTACTCAGTTCCTTGGGAATTATTTTCTTGTGTTAGTTATTCGGTTTTTTGTTTTTTGAATTTAACAATTAATTAATTTAAATATTATGAGACTTGGGAAATATTACATTAACTCAATGGTAGAAAAAGGCAGGATTTTCGTCCTCAAAAGATATAAGTCAAATTTATGCCGTAAGAAATATCATACCACCAAAGTATTTGTAAAAAAACATAAAACAAAACCCAAATCTGTATCATTTTGTCCTGAAGACCGAAGCTCTCAATCTATGGTAAAATAACTGTGATTTTTTTACATATTTTATTGTTATTTTTTTGGGTAAAAAATTATTTAGGTTCTTCAGGAAAATTACAAGTTTTAACTGTTTAGTCCAAAACCAATTTGTATTAGGTTTTGGCCAACCCAACTCGGTCTTGTTGATTTTCAATGCTTAAGTCTTCAAACTACGGTTAAAAAATTGATTAAGTAATCGTGTATGTATGCTCCTCGGGAAAAAGAAAAGAAAAAGAAAAATGATATTCTAGAATCCAAGGAGAAACTGGAAATCACAAAAGTTACAACTAAATGCCTGGCGATCCGGGTTTTGCAATCTAAATGGCGGGCAAAAATATTTCGGAAAGCTAATTTTATAGCCGATTATTTGACGTCACTTGCAAGGTAAATTTTGAAAAAATACATTGGTTAGAAGATCTGCCACTCGGGGTTAAAACGTGGTTACAGTATGAAGTGATACTATCCCTGAAACCTTGAAATGTAATAACTTAATTTTTCCAGACATTAGCCTCTGTATCATTGTAAAAAAAAAAAAAAAGGAAACAAAAGAGACTTCGCATGAGTAAGCATAATGGAGCCAATTTCATGGATTGGACCAAAATAGTATAAATTGTATACAAATACAAAAACGTAATCGGACAATAATTCTGAACAGAAAAAATAGAAAATACAGTATAATCTAATCAAAGACTATAGAGAACTTAAGTAGTGTCTTGCAGATCGATGGATCACTTGGACTACCAGTTTGGGATATCCTCCCAAATTAACTCGGAAATGACACATATACACCATTTGATGCCCATAACCTTCTCCGAGTATGAATTCGGGGTGTTTTTTTTTCTCATAAAAATATTTTATACTAAAAATAGTATAAAATTTAAAATTTAATGTGCTATTTTTCTAAGACGTAGATAATATTATGTCTGAACAATTCGTCAGAGGAAACAAAATTTGTGACGCTATGAAAGTATGACTATGAATACGAGCAAGGCCAACTGCGGAGACACTATCTTTTGAGTCTTTTCCCTTCTTAACTCACTAAAATTCACTATATTTAAACATATTGTTACTAAATTGATTTCTCTATTAAATGACATCTAAATGTACAAGAATTGAAATTTGGTGCATAGATGCTATTATATATTATTGAATGAATATGCCTCATGTTCCCTTATTCCACGTGGATAGAAGGAAACACTTGAACCTAACATATATACCATATGTGTTACTACTCTCATCACCAATTAGTTTTAAGGAGGACTCACATGTGAGCCTATATTTGGGCCTTCAAGATGGTATTTGAGCAGGTTTTAATTTGCGGACCTGTAGAGCTTGTGAGATGAGATTGACTGACTAATATTCAACTTTGACTTGTCAGATTCGGGCTTTGACTTTGAAACTTTGATGAACCAATGGAAGAAATTCCTGGTTTGACTTTGAAATTTAACTGGCCCGACAGACGACGGTTTATCCGAAAGAATAATCGATCGCAAGACTGAAGAAAAAAAACGTATAAAAAATTACCCGTCCAAGCTCATTGGGTTTGAGAGGGGTGTATTGAATGAATATGCCTCATGTTTTCTTGTCCCACATGGATGAAAGATAACACGTATAAAAAATTACCCGTCCAAGCTCATTGGGCTTGAGAGGGACGTATTGAATGAATATGCCTCATGTTTCTTTATCCTACATGGATGGAAAAAAACACTTGAACCCAACATATATATTCCATATGTTACTTCCCTTATCACCAATTGATTTTGAGATAGAACCATATATGGGCCTATATTTGAACTTGCAAGATATATATTAAGTGGAAGCAAGCAACCAAGAACCAGGCCTTCCCCTGTTGGGACGAAGAGGGAGGCAAAAATGCGCAGAGACTTAATTATCAGAGTAAAAGTCAAACCAGCTTCTACAGTACGAGAATATATGTAACCATGGCGAAGCCGAACCTTGAAGGTTTCATGGGATTAATCAAACTACTGGAGCCTCAAATGAAGGCAAGTTGGTTTTGAACCAAACAAAGCTACTTAATAATATAGGCGCCACTTGATCCTGTTCTTTAATTTGTTCAATACTTCAATGTGATTTCCATTTCCCACTTCATGATCTTGTATTTTGGTCGATGGCTTCAGTTAAATACTCTCCATATTCCAAAATTATTATTCAGTTTGAGACATCGTTTTTAGTATAATTTAAACTAAAAAAGAAAATTGAAACTGGATAATAATTCTGGGACGGAAGAAGTATTAAAAGGGAATAAGATCTTCCTCGTACGAATCACTCATCACTTTAACTGGAGTGAGCTGGAAATTCTAAGCTAACTCAATTCCATGATTCTTTGAGTTATCGTTCGTACAATAACAATGTAAAAAAACCATATACTTTAAAATTAAATACATCACCAAGAAAAAAATTATATGTGGAGATTTGACTTTTGAAACCAATATTACGTTCCCCCGGCCTATTTTTTAAAACTATTTTGTTATTCGGATTTTAGTTTAATTTTCGGATCGAAGAAGTAGTGCGTTTTTTAATATCTTTTTGAATTGTTATTTTTACTGTCTCAAAAAATTAATTCACATAAAATTTTAAAATTTATACTAAAATAATTCAAATCTCAAAACTCAATAGAAATTATTGTTTTAAACCGAGGGAGTATTAAAATATGCGAAAGAACAACAACCAACTACATTTGAAAGAGAGTTATTCCTTTCGTTTTAAAACTGATATTCATATATAATCATTCAATACAAAACAAAAGGAAATCCTTGTCCTAAATTTAAGGAGCAATCAACAAAAAATTTTCCGATAGCGAGAAATATATATGTTTACTGTCTCAAAATTGAACGATATTACCGTAATTGTATTAGGGTTAGTAAATGTCTTGTATTTACTGTATTTACGGTAATTCATTTATTGGCAGTAACTGTATATATGAAACCCTAACTCAATGAGAAAAGGCAAGAAAGCCAATTCACATTTCTTCCTTCGGCCGCCGCCTTTGAATTCCTTTATGGTATCAATCGCTGGCAATTTCTTCCTGTTGCAATACACATGACGAATCCCTCCGATCCTCCTCAGTCCAGCAAGTCCGTCTCTCTGCCGACGGATGAGGATGGCCGTGATCGTCCCCATACCGACGATTTCTCTCGTCGTCGAACAATCTCTCCTTATGATATTTCCGGCAGTGATCAACCGGGTCAATCAATCACTCAAGTTCAGCTTCAAGGCGAGCACAATTACGATGAATGGTGTAGCGCCGTCAAGACTGCCTTACGGGCCAGAAAAAAATACGGTTTTGTGGATGGCTCCATTCCTGAACCGGCGCCGGCATCCCCAAAATTCGAAGATTGGTGGACAATCAATTCTTTGCTTGTTTCCTGGATTATGAACTCTGTCGAATCTTCTTTCCGTTCGACTCTCACTCACATGGAGGTTGCTGCCGATTTGTGGGCCGACATCAAAGAACGTCTCTCCCAGGTAAATGGTCCGAAGATTCATCAGTTGAAGGCGGATTTGATGGCGTGCAAACAGAAAGGTCTGTCCATGGCTACCTATTATGGCCGTTTGAAGAAGATTTGGGAAGCTTTGGCCACGTACGATCAATTTCCGGCGTGTTCGTGCGGCAAATGTACCTGCAATCTTTCCGCCATTGCTGCTCAACGCCTTGAAACCGAGAAAATTCATCAATTCCTTCTCGGTTTGGATGATTTCGCCTATGGAACGGATCGCTCCAACATTCTGGCGCAAGATCCTTTGCCTCGCCTCAATAAAGTTTATGCGGCAATGGTTCGTGAAGGAAAAACGCGGCAGATTACGTAGTCTGCCGAGTCCACAACCGACGCCATGAGCTTCGCGGTTCAGCCTTCCTCCGGCGTCCCTGGTTCTTCCTCCGGCGTCACAGTTTCTGCGACAACTTTTTCGTCGGGGGATTCGTCCGCTTTTGCGGCTGCTGCTGATGTGGTTTCCGACGGCCGTGGGTCTGCTCGTGCGAAACCCTTGTTTTGCACCCACTATAATAAGCCAAATCATGATGTCTCAACCTATTTTCAACTCGTGGGTTACCCGGATGGCTGGTCGCGTGGGTCTCCTGGGCGCGGGCGTGGTCGTTCTACTTCAGGTGTTGGCAATGTTTCTTTTGCTCCGGGTTCTGGTGTTTCGGCTTCTACAAATGCGGTCACCGGTTTGAATAATGATCAGTGGCAGACCTTACTCCAACTTTTGCAATCGTCTAAGCCTGGTTCGACAGACACGCTTTCTGGTATGTCTTGGTCTACATTGTGGATGTATGATTCCGGTGCAACTAGATATATGACTGGTCGTTTGGAATTTTTTACGGATGTTCGTGCTATTCCTGCTGTCTCGGTCCGTTTGCCTAATGGTCAACATACTTGGGCCACTCAGGCTGGCACTGTTATTCTTAGCCGCACTATCACGCTGCTTAATGTGCTTTATGTTCCCACTTTGTTGTGTCATTTGATTTCTGTTTCACAGCTGTTACGGGATTCCGGATATGTTGCTCATTTCACTCGTGATTTTTGTATTATACAGGACTTCGCTTTGAGGACGCTGATTGGAGCGGGTGAGCAACGAGAGGGGTTATATTTCTTCCGGGCCGTGGAGATTGCTGCTCAAGTTACACCTGCTGGTGTTTCTTCTTTTGATCTGTGGCACCAACGTCTCGGTCGTCCTTCCCCTCAGGTCTTAGAATCCTTTTCATTTGTTGGTCCAAAAGTGGGTAGTAATAAAGCTTGTGATGTATGTTTTCGTGCCAAACAGTCTAGGACTAGCTTTCCTCTTAGTTCTACAACTAGTTCTGACATTTTTCATTTGATCCATTGTGATTTGTGGGGCCCGTATCGGGTACCTAGTTTTTCTGGAGCTCGTTATTTTTTGACTATTGTTGATGATTATTCTCGCGCTACTTGGCTTTATTTGTTGAATGATAAGAAAGAGGTTTCCTCTACTTTATTCCAATTTTTCGCCATGGTTAAACGTCATTTTAGCAAACTTGTGAAAATCGTTCGTAGTGATAATGGCACCGAGTTTTTATGCTTGACTGATTATTTCCGCCAACATGGCATTATTCATGAAACCACTTGTGTTGGTACTCCTCAACAAAATGGTCGTGTCGAACGCAAGCACCGACACATTCTCAATGTTGCTCGCGCTTTGCGGTTCCAGGCCAACTTACCTATTGAGTTTTGGGGGGAGTGTGTTTTGACAGCCGGGTATTTGATTAATCGTACCCCATCCCGCATTTTGCATGGGAAAACTCCCTGTGAAATTCTTTATGGCAAACCCCCTTCTGTGTCTCATTTGCGTGTATTTGGTTGTTTGTGCTATGCGCATAACCAGGATCGTAAGGGTGATAAGTTTTCTAGCCGCAGTTGCAAGTGTGTTTTTTTGGGGTATCCTTTTGGTAAGAAGGGTTGGCGGCTCTATGATTTAGATTCTGGTACGATTTTTGTTTCCCGGGATGTAGTTTTCTCTGAGTCTGAATTTCCCTATCAGTCTTCCCCTTCTCCCGTTGTTCCTTCTTCTTCCGTTCCTCCTTTTGTTTTGGAAGACGATGAGTTTGAGTCACGGGTGGTCTCTTTTCCTTCCGCTGCTATTCCTAGTTCTCCGCCTGCTGCTTCAGAATCAGCTCCTTTCTCTAGTCCTTCAGTTGATCCTTCTTCATGTCAGGGGGGGCAGTCCCCTCCTCCACAACAGGAAGAACTTCTGGGTCGTGGGCATCGGGCCAAGTTTCGCTCCACCCGTCTCACTGATTTTCTGTCCCATACTATCACTTCTTCCGACCCTTCTCTCAGCTCATCTATTTCGTCAGTCTCCTCATGTACGTCCTATCCTTTGAATCGTTATGTATCTTGTGATTCCTTTTCTGCTCCACATCGGGCGTTTTTGGCCAGTCTTATTGCAGATACTGAACCTCGCACTTTCTGAGGTCACAAAGATGATCGGTGGTGTGCCGCCATGCAGCAAGAGATTCAAGCTTTAGAACAAAACGGCACTTGGACGCTTGAGTCTCTTCCTTCTGGCAAGCGGGCTATAGGCTGCAAATGGGTGTTTAAAATTAAGCATCGGTCTGATGGTTCAGTTGAGCGTTTTAAAGCACGTCTTGTCATTTTGGGTAATAACCAGATTGAGGGTCTGGATTATACTGAGACGTTCGCTCCTGTTGCCAAAATGGTTACTGTGCGCACCTTGCTCACTGTTGCTGCTACTAAAGGTTAGGAACTTCATCAGATGGATGTTCACAACACTTTTTTGCATGGTGATCTTGACGAGGAAGTCTATATGAAGTTACCTCCTGGTTTCTCTTCGTCTCATCCGGGGACTGTTTGTCGACTTCGGCGGTCTCTTTATGGACTTCGTCAGGCACCTCGTTGTTGGTTTGCCAAGTTGGCTATGGCTTTGCGTTGGTATGGTTTTAAGCAGTCTTACTCTGATTACTCGCTTTTTACCTTACATCGTGATCATTTACAGCTCAACGTGTTGATTTACGTTGACGATCTTATCATTTCGGGCAATGATCATAATGCCATTCAGACTTTCAAAGATTATTTGAGTCAGTGTTTTCATATGAAGGATCTGGGCGTTTTGAAGTATTTTTTAGGGATTGAAGTTGCTCGCAACTCGACTGGCATTTTTCTTTGCCAACGCAAATATGCCCTGGATATCATTTCTGAGACTGGTCTATTGGGTGCTAAGCCAGCTAGTTTTCCTTTGGAGCCCAATCACCAGCTTTCTCTTGTCACTACCGAGCCCCTCTCTGATCCTGAACGTTATCGCCGTTTGGTCGGCCGTTTGATTTATCTGGCCGTTACTCGTCCCGAGTTGTCATATGTTGTTCATACTCTGGCCCAATATATGCAGAAACCCATGCAGGTTCATTGGGAGGCAGCGTTACATGTTGTTCGCTATCTCAAGGGTTCTCCTGGTCAGGGTATTCTTCTTCGCGCTGATTGCGATTTGCAGCTTTCTGGTTGGTGCGACTCTGATTGGGCCAGTTGTCCTCTGACTCGGCGCTCTCTATCTGGCTGGTTTGTTTAGTTAGGATCTTCTCCTATCTCTTGGAAGACTAAGAAGCAGCAGGCAGTTGCTCGCTCGTCTGCTGAAGCTGAGTATCGTGCTATGGCTGCAGTCGTATGTGAGTTGAAATGGCTTAAGGGCCTGTTACTTTCTCTCGGTGTTTCTCATCCTCAGCCTGCTTCTCTGTTTTGCGATAGTCAGGCCGCTCTTCACATTGCCGCTAATCCGGTTTTTCATGAGCGTACGAAACACATTGAGGTTGATTGTCATTTCATTCGGGATGAGATTTTGAAGGGTGCTATTCTCCCTAGTTATGTTTCCACACATGTCCAAGTTGCAGATATATTTACCAAGGCATTGGGCAAGTCTCAGTTTGATTTTTTTATTCCCAAGTTGAGCATTCGGAATCTTCATGCTCCAACTTGAGGGGGGGTGAACGACGTTACCATAATTGTATTAGGGTTAGTAAATGTCTTGTATTTACTGTATTTACGGTAATTCATTTATCGACAGTAACTGTATATATAAAACCCTAACTCAATGAGAAAAGGCAAAAAAACCAATTCACATTTTTTCCTTTGGTCGCCGCCTTTGAATTCCTTTAAAAATGATGATATACAGTTTATTTATTTTTAAATATAAATTGAGTTAAAAGTACAAATATAAATTTTGGACAATTTTGGACAGAGAGAGTGATAAAAATAGCAATGGCATTATTTTTCTTTTGGGGGGGGAGGGGGGTTGTATTATTATTTTTTTAATGTTTTTGCATGGCTTCGCTTCTGGTACATTTCAATTCCGTAAAAGCAATACCAGAAACAAAATAGTGACTTTTGTAGTAAGACACTTACATATTTCATAGCTGGAAAATATTTCTTCATCGCAAATAATAATTCATATCTTTTTTTAAGTTTGATTTTACATTTCAAATAATTCAAGAATATAAACATTTTTTATGGAGCAAGAGAAATATAGTCTCGTACCTAGTTTTTGTCATCTTGCTATTTTTATTTGGGGGGGGGAGGGGTGATGAAAAGTTTTCAAATTAGTATTATTATTTTAGGAGTGATATAACTTATTTCTATGATATACGGATTAATGAAGTTATTCCATCGTAAAAATATAATTATCATGCTAATTGTGCGTACTGTAAATCCCAATACAAAGGACTTTCAAATAAAACATATGGAGGCATCTTGGCGTTACCTCCAAACAAAAGAATAACGAGGTTACTTTCATCAAATTCAGTGATTAACAAGTTGAAAGTTTCATAATTATGTCTTAGATTTTGGACTATTGGGTTTAAATCCTCATGTTCGATCCCTTTTTAACACATTTCTCGCTTGATATTGGGAAGCAAACATTCTAGGGCATCTTATTTCATCATTAAGAACTTCCGACATAATAATAATAATATACTTTAGTTCTTGTACGTAGTAACAATTCTTAATTTTCCTTCCTGTATAAGTACCCCAACTTCCTCATCAAATGGCCTCAAGCTAGCGAACCCAATTCGCTTTTGTAGTCAAAATCTCTTTGAGGAACCATAAAAAAATAATGGCCTCAAGCACTAAATTCAAACTCTATACGCCTTTGATTTTGGCTTTGATCATCACAGTCTCCAGAGCCGAATTAAGGGAGATGAAAGAAACAAGTATGACCTTATATTTCCAAGAACTATACGTAGGGGCAAATGCGACCGTAATCCAAATCACAACCGATCAAGATCAAGAAGGGCACTTAAGTTTCACCAAGTTCGGTACCATGTTTTGCACCGATGATCCGATAACGGAAGAATTCGAAGTGACCTCCGTTCAGGTGGCTAGGGCTCAAGGTATTTACGTAACCTCGGCCTTAGACGGTTCCCGTACACATGTTTTGATATCCATTGTGTTCGAAAATGGTGACTATAAAGGTAGCACTTTGGAAGTACAAGGTTCGAGTGCTCAGTTCGATAAGGTCAGGGAGGTTGCGGTGGTTGGCGGCACCGGAAAACTCCGATTTGCTCGTGGATACGCCACTTTTGAGACTATTCACCTCAACTTGGCGGCCGGCCGTGGTGTCATCCAATGCAATATCACCGTTCAACATTATTGAATGGATAAACTGAACGTTCATATATATTTTTTCTGTTTTAAAATGATTATTCAAAAGAATTATTTCAGAATGGAGAGAATATTTACTGATTTCTTGAGCTAGATCACTTTATATAGTAGTAATGCTAAAGAGTGAACATTGTTTAAATCCATAATGTATGCTTTTGTATGCACATTGTATGGTAAGATCTTAACTGAAATAAATTAATTCGTTCTTTAATTATTGTTCAGTTTGAATTTTCATTTCTAGTTTAAATTGTACAAAAAATAAAATCTCAAACTAGACAATAATTTTGGGACTGAGAGAGTATGTACTATGTACCACAATATTGCTTCGACATCTTTTTATGTGTTTTGTTTTAATGTATACTTTTGGACGGAAGCTCCAAGGGCAGGCCAGGTTTGAACGAAGATCTCTCGATCTTAAAATCATTTCTCTTTGTCCCGGCCTCCCGAATGCCTTGGTATTTTTTCCCCAAACAAAAAACATTTTAGTACGTACGCAACATTTTAGTAGTCCACTATTTTATATTGTTATTGTTTAACAAATTTGTGATAAGGTTGAACCTTAGAAGAAATGGCTACGTACCCTTTTTTGATATGTACCATGCTTCTTCTATTCGAGTACAATTAACAAATTATAATGTGAACGATTTTTGTGAAAAAATGGAATATAATATGTACAGAACGGGAAAAAAAAAACACCACAAAAGAATTTTCCGTGACAAGCTCATGACCAACTGGGCATTGAAACCCCATAATTTCTTCATGGGTTCCCTAAAGTGGTCCACCAAAGGACAATGCAGATCTCGTTTTACGTATTTGAACCATCCCCACCTGAGTTGAATTATCCTAAATTACGAGTCAGGTTGGCTTTATGTTTAACTTAGTTTTCTTCTCCGAGAATGGGAAGTTGGAAACATTGACACACAACTTTAATGAGTTTGTTTGAACAAAATAACGATACATTGTTGCTGAACTCGAACATCTTTTTATTTAAAAAATATTTATTAAAATAACAAGATATATATATACATATATATATATATATATGAAAATTCTAGAATCCAATTGTCATTTTTTGACTGAACCGTCTAGTTAAAATTTAACCAATCAGAATTAAGGATATAATATATATTGATGGGGTGAAAAACATAGTAACACATCCCAAAAAAGTTTTAATTTTTTAAAAAATTAAAAACAAAAAAGACAATTTGATGCTCCTTCTCCACCTCCTACATATGATTGCAGTTGTTTTTGTTTTTATTTAATTAACTTAATATTAAGATTAAAAACTCATAATTCTGATGTTGGCATGGTATCCAAACTTCCTATGCCTTTGAATTTGGAGAATTGCCCTTACCGAGTGGATTGTTTTAAGTCTCGGATATTTGCTAGCAGATTTTGTAAGGCTTGAATTGGTTACTAAATTGATAATTTGAGTCTATGAACTTCACCTCGAATCGATTCCATCAGTTTGCAATTTTCTTAACTTTGATTCAGTTTTATACCAATAAAAATCGATCTCGTTTCAAAAGAAGGATGAAAAAGATGGCTACTCTAATCATGCACTTTGCTATATATAGATTTTGGTTCATGAATTTTTGGGAAGAAGGGTATGGCGAGAAGATGGAGAAGGTGGTGTGTGTATGTGTTTTTTTTCCCATTTATTAGGCCAAAGATAAGGGTTTATTGATTATTACGTTATAAGATAATTACTTTGTAATAATCAAGTGTAATCGGTGTATTTTTTTTGAGTGTATCTACGTTTTTAATTTAATGATTGTCTTTTGATCGTGATCATCTTCTGGATATTAAAATTGACTGAACCATTCAGTCGACTGGATTATAGCGACTCCTCTATATATATATATATACATATATTTGGACGTGTAGTCTACAAGTTACAATTTGAAAATTATATGCTATAATAATGTTTTTTTTTCACCAAAAAAACATAATTTTTTTTTTTGAAAAAGTATGCTATAATAATGTTAATTTAGTGGTCCGTGGACGAACATCTTGGATACTTTTCTTTTCCAAATCAAAACACATTTTTTTCCCCTATATTCGTTCTCCTTTCTTTTGATCTTAATAATATTCTACAAACTAACGAGAGAAAGATACAATCGTGTCATAATGGGTTACGTTACTACAGAAGCAACAATTTGACAAAAAGATTGAGTAGCCAAATTAAGTTTTCAAAGACTACAAGAATTGTCAAATAAGTACGGAGAGGCACACAGAATAATTATTTTGAGAGGGATTGAGTATAAAGAGATAAAGAGTCTGATCAATCTAGTCTCTACAACATATTTTTGTCACTACATAAATACACTTGGAATGTTCCATAAAATTTGGACAAATGGAAAGAACTAAGATAACATAGTAAAATCGCATGTTATTATAATACTATTTTTAGTACTATTTTCCCTTAACATTTGAGTTACCCCTTTTAGTATTTCAATAAGATAGTATTCATGTTTTCTTTCCGTAAAAGTTTCTAATGGTCATTGGTAATTGCTTTACATTTTGTAATCAATTAGGAGTCATTGTCTTAAACTAGTTTCAAAGAAAATAAATACTAAATCTCCATTTTTTCTTAACTTGTTGCATTAAGGTGAAACTAGAAAAAAACATACTCCCTTTGTCCCAAAATTATTATTCAGTTTGAGATTTCACATTTAATACAATTTGATTCGTCCTACGTTTAACCTATGATATCTTTTTAAAAAATGTTTTGGTTTTTTGGGGGTCTAATTTTCGGTTGAAATTTCAAAACAGGGAAATGGCTAAATATAAATCGCAATTTCGGCCATCAAGTAAAATCACGCGTGATGCCATCTTATTCTTGATCTTCGACCCATTTTCAAAATCAATGAAGAGAAATTGGAACTGAATTTATTTATCATCATCTAATTATGAGCATGGAATAATTTTAAGGCAAGTGATTTTGCCACAACACTTTCTAGCATCCAGGTCCACGTCAATAATGATTTCCTTGCCCTTATGGTGCCGGATCTATCTCTTCTCCAATTTTATGTTTCTGTTTTTTCGCTTCTCTAATTAATCGCAACTCTTTTTCTTTTTACTCTCACTACCGGGACAATTGCAATCAAATTTTCATTACTAGTTGGGTCAAGAAGTGCAGCATAACACTGATGTTCTCCTCCATCTTAATTGACTTTTGCCGGTAATTTTTTTTAATTTAATTTTAAAGCAGATTTCAGAAATATTTAGATGGTTTGTTCATAACAATCGAGACTTTTAGGGCTACTTTTGGGGAATTAAATCGTTGTAATCATCTACTAGCACCAATAGTAAAAACTGAATTGGGTAAGTGAATCTTTTGCTTCAGTTTGGTTGATTTTCAATGGTGGACTTGTTTGATTTAATTTCATGAGCTTTCTGAGTTTATTTACTTGAAAGAATTTGATCCGCAATTTTTCGAATTGATTGCTCCATTACCGTCCAAGTTTTTTTTTTTCTTCTTTCTTTCTTGGAGGGAGAGGCTGTGAGTGCGGCAGTGGTGTTAATGTGGCTTCAAAGTTTTTAAAATTGAGAAGTAAGAAATATAATCTACAAGTTTGGATCCGTAATTTGGAAGGCAAAGATGGAAGAAGAATAGAGAAGAACCAGAGTTCTTGAATCTGGGAAATCGGTTTTCAGTTTTGTGTATTTACACTCTATATCTCTAACTGTACATGTGGAAATAAAAGACTATAAATATATAAGTCTACACTACCTGTATTTACAACTGCTAACCCCATTAATTCAACATATGTACAAATCAACCCCTATACAAACTATACAATATGAAAACTATAGAATAACTGCACAATTATTCACACATTTACAACCCCCCCTCAAGCTGATGATTGAAGAAAATTCTTCAATCCAAGCTTGTCCAACAGAGCAAACTGAGGATAACAAAGCGACTTCGTAAAATGATCAGCAAGCTGACCTTTTGAAGGTATATAAAGTGGAACAAGAAATCCTCGATTGTAGTGATGCCGGACAAAGTGGCAGTCGATTTCCAAATGCTTGGTTCGTTCGTGAAAAACCGGATTCTCCGTAATGTAAATCGCTAAGGAATTATCACACTAAAGAGGAACTGGCAGAGATAAGGAAACTACAAAATCTGCTAACAAATAGCTGATCCACAGGATTTCCCTGGTAGCAAAACTCAAGCTCCGGTATTCAGCCTCAGCTGAGGAGCATGATATAGTATCTTGCTGTTTTGCCTTCCATGAGATCAAAGCAGGACCTAATAACACACAGTAACCAGAAACAGACTTTCTGTGATGGGAATTCAAACTCCAATCAGCATCGCTATAAACTTCTACCCGGAGGGAATTATCTGAGGGATAAAACATGCCATGGGATACTGTACCTTTTAAGTATTTTAGGACATGGAAAAGAGCTTCTCCATGCTCTACACAAGGTTATGCATATGCTGACTCAGTTGCTGCACAGCAAACGTGATGTCTGGACGAGTGAAATTGAGATATAGAAGTTGTCCTACCAATCTTCAATAACCCGAAGCATCTTCCAAGCAGGGGCCTGGATCATCTGAGAACTGATGATTCTTGGGAAGAGGAGTAGTAGACGCTTTACAACCAAGTAATCCAGTATCCTGTAAGATATCCAGGATATATTTACGCTGATTCAAAAACAAACCCTCAGGAGATCTAGCAAGCTCAATTCCAAGGAAGTACTTGGCATACTGCAAGTCTTTGATGGTGAATTTCTGGTGTAGAAACTGCTTTACTTTGGTAATAACTGCTTCACTGGCTCCAGTGATCAAAACATCATCAATGTATACAATAAGAGCAGTGAAATACCCTTCAATGCTGCCTGTAAACAAGCAAGGGTCATAAACATACTGTTTAAAACCAAACACCTGACGTTGAGCAGTCAATTCCACATTCCACTGACGAGATACTTGCTTCAAACCGTACAAGGACCTGGTCAGTTTACAAACTTGGCCTGGTAGAGCCT